ATAAGTAAAAAAAAAAAAAAAAGTAGGGTATATTAGGTACGTATTTGCAGTGTGAATATAATTTTTTTTTTCCTAAAATGGATATGATGCAATATTTGTGAAACTTTCTTGAAAGGCAAAGTAGTGCAATATTAAAAAAATGGAGGAAGTATAAAGTTGTACAATTAATTAGTCAAGTCAATATACAACAAAACTTAATCTGTACGCTATTCGCAATACATCGACACTTGGCATTCCAACTTTTTATTAAGTGTTGTGTAGTGCTACGTAGGTAACAACTAATCATTAGTATGACTTGTATGATATATTTGGATAGATTTTTAGGATAAAAAAGGATAATGTATTTAAATAAATTTTTTAGAATAAAGGGCTGCTTGGTTCATTATTTTATTTTCACTAAAATTTGTATAGGCTTTTAGGATAAAATTGTTGGTTTAAAGTTTTATTTTTGATAAAATTTCAATTTTTCGTATGTATAAATTAAATAAACAACCCGGATATCGCCAGGGCACAAAACTAGTATATTTATGAACAAGAGTTTTTTCCCAAGATTTTAGAGCACCAAGTATGATTATTATTTTTAAAACTTTATGTAGGATTATGCCACATAGGATTATTATTTTTTAAAACGCTACGTAGTATCATAATAAAATAAAAAAATTATCAGAGCGCCACGTAAGTTTATTATTAATAAGAAATTAAATTTGGGCGATTAGTGAAAACGTCATTTTTATACATTTTTCAAAAATTCCATAGTTAAAAAAAAAGAAATATTTAGTTTATTAGACGTACATATGATTTACTCTATAATAAAAATCATAGATTTAGTGAACACTAGCTTAAAGCCCATGCCATGCACGGTTAGTCTAATTTTTTTTAATAAAATTAATTTTATCCAACAAATAAAATTTGATAAAACATACACATCAAATATATAGAAATTATAATGTCATAAACTCATAATCTATATTAATAGGCAAAGCAAAAAATAAAACAAAAATGAGGGTTGCCCAAACCTGATTTTTTTTTTCAAACGGGGGGCTTGGTTTGATCAGGTCCAGTTAGGCTTGTTCACGGATCGGATATCCGAATACTCGAATATCAGAAATTGATATCCAAATTTGATTCAAAAATTTCGAATATCCGATAGCCAAAATTTTCGGATCGGCTGCTTCGGATATCCATTATCCAATATTAAGTAAAATTGATCATGATTACTTTTTAAATTTCACTAATTTTACCACTTTTTTATCGCTAAGTTGTACAACATACTTTAACAAAATAGTAGTCCTTTTGCAATAAATATTATCATCAAATATATTTAGAATATTATAATAAGTTAATAATACAGAGTCAATTTTATATGACAATTTAAAATTTTTATATATATTTAACTTTTTTAGTCTTTATATTTTGGATATCGGATATTCGAAAATTTGAAAATAAATATTCAAATTCGCATCCGATATCCGCTTTTTCGGATTGGATATTCGATCTAAAATGAAAATTCGAATCGGTTGCAGATCGGATTATCAGATTTTCGGATTCTCGGATAATTTTGTACAGGCCTAGGGGCCATATTAGTATTTACTTATTTATAAAAGCTTTTTTAATAAACATAAAAAATTAATCAAACAATAGACTAAAATCTCCACTAAAACTATTAGTAAAAGAGCGCGCACACACACACACATTACATTTTATGTTTATGGATGGATGCTCTACATATACGATATCGTCATTCTTTGTTGTATAAAAAATTGTGTTTGAAGCAATTCAATAATTGTAGCTTAATAATTTTTGTTTATTGTCTTGAAAGTTTAATTGTAGATAATAGATATATATCAAAAAAAAAAATATACAAAAGGAGATGTCAATTATTGTCACTACGTCTGGCGTGTCTTTCAGTAAGCTGATTATTTCTGAATGTCGGATGTAATAAATTTATCTTCTCAATCAAGTATCTTGGCAAAAGATAATAATTTATTTCGCTTTTACTAAGATATTGATATTTTTAGTTACGTAATTTACAAAAAAAATTAATTGTTATTTTACCTTTTCCTAGAATTAGACATATGATATAATTGTCAAACACAACATTGATTTTATTGTTATACTATACTCTATAAATCCATTTGTGATAATATATACGTAGTACGGAGTAGTAAAATTTCAAAAACAAAATTGTAATTAAGTTGAATATATAGTTATATTGAAATTGAAATATAATATTAGCTAGAGGTATTTGAAAATAAAAAATTTAAGTGATGTTTTAAAGTAATTTATTTAATATCTATTACATGAATCAATTTATTATTACTTTTTTTTTTTTGACAAAATCTAATAATACTCCATTTAAAAGATAATTAAAAAGGAGTTGGAATGATTATTTAGGTATATGTGTATTGAATAATTATGAACACCAAGTAAAAAGGAATATATTTGTCATATAGGTATAATATAAAAGATTTAGAATGAAATTATTATAGAATCAAATATTAAAAACAAAAAAAAAGGTCAGAAAGGGAGGGGAGTTTTGGAGGGAAAAAATTTAAAACAAAATTTTTTTCTAAATTTGTTTATTTTTTCACACCAAAATTAAAAACAAAAAAATTCCCAAAACAAAATAATACATCAAATTGTTAAAAAAAAAAAAAAAAAAATTGAACTCTTTGAAAAATAGAATGATTAGAGGGGTGCCTAAGGAAGAGAAATTAAATTTTTATTGTTAGAGAGTATAGGCTGTTTTTCGAAAATTGATACTAATAACAATCAATGACCAAAATTTTAATAAAATAAAATGTAAAAATCATAAAATGATGACATTATTTATAGTTTTGAAGGGAAAAGTTTTAACAACAATATAACATATGTCTAATTTTAGGATCGGATGATGTCAGTGATTGCTATTTTAGTATTAAATATAAATATAGATTATTGATAGAACTATGTTATCATTAAATAGTATTAAATGTAAACATGAACATAGAATTATGTTATTGATTGAATCGTAAAGTTGAAATATTAAAAGAAAAAATTTATTGAAATTAATAATAATAATAATAATGGGCGACTGGGTTAGGGCCGTAGGGTTCGCCGGCGTCCGTGTCTTCAGGTGGTGTTTCCGGCGTCTAGTTTTTCTCGGTGGCGTTGGATTCCCTCAGGCGGTGGTTCAGCGTCAGTGTTGGGCGGTTTGAAGGGTTTTTTTTTCTTTTTAAAATTTCAAATTTTGGTCAGTTTTCAATTCCATCCAACGATCCACGTCCAAGTTTCTGGTAACGAAGTTTCCACGTTCGTGTTTCTCCAGTAGCATTCACGCTTAGGTTCGGCAAAGGGCTTCGTTTTCTGGCGGATTTCAGGCGTATATTCAGGCTTTTATTTCGGTTTTGTTGGTGCAGCTTTTTGGGTGCGATTTTGTTGATGTTTCAGGTTATATTTACCGGTGAATTTTATAGGGGCTCAGGCAGTTTTTTTCAGACGGCTGCAGTGGGTTTCAGGCGGCAGTTTTTTTATTTGTTATTTTGAGTTGTTTTTTGTTCCGTATCATTTTTGTTGGTGTTTCATGCAGCTGGTTTACGCTGTAGTTTCCGGTGGTGGCTGTGTGTAGCTATTTCGGCTGCTGTTGTAACGTTTCATTGTCCCTTTGTGGGTGTTAAGATGGGGGTGGGAATGGGCTTACTAGAAGTTCTCTAATCACGTATCTTCATGATCGTAATTGTTGTATTGGTACGTGGGATATCAGATGACATTATCTTACTTCTAATTTGGCTATTTATACTGAGGCAAAAGTTACTTTTACAAGTATGGGGATTTGGTTATGTGGAGTTTTCTACTAAACACATAGTCTTTGTTCTAAGTATCGGTATGGTAGGGGTGAGGATTTTATGCCACCCCCGCAAGCCGCTACCTCTCTCTTCTCCAGCTCGGCTAGGACATGTGAAAAGCTTGGTGCGAGATTAGTGTGTGGGTTTTGATGTGGCTCTCCTTAATAGTTTGTTGTCCACGGGGTTTCGTACTGTGAAATTCATTCCCTCAAGTGTCGTTTGGGGTTTTCGCAGGTTTTGAAAGGAGCTCTTGACAAAGTGCTTTGCAAACCCGAGGACATCTTTTGTTGGGTTTCTTTGCTAGTGTTGCCTCTTTGTACCCTAAGAACCTTCCGTCCGCGAAGTAATCTTGAGTGTAAGTCTGCTATAAAACGTCAACGTCAAGAGGAGAGTATTGTTCGAGCTATTGATTCTTGGAGTGCACCGGGTAGAAGTTTGTAGCTTGTGAGCGAAACTTTGGCAGAGGACTCTCCTGCTTTGTCGGTGATTGATGAGGAGGATCTTGATTAGGATGAGCGTAATATCAAGCAGTGTAAGAGTAAGATTTGTGATGGTCATTACACTACTGCGGTTTGAGTTCATTTTTCTTATTGCATTGCTTCTTATAATGATGCCACTCTTGCAGATTTACAGTCTAAACACCCTTTATCGTCAGCTCCATCTTTTCCTGGTATACCTATTGATCATCACCACCTCATTGCTAATCCTGCTGTTGTTTTGGACCGGATTATGAATTTTCCACACTGCACATCATGTGGTAGGGATGGTCTACTAGCTCAACACCTTACAGATTGCTTGAGTGGGCTGTTGTGGCTGTTTCAGATGAGTTAGTTGACTCTATTTCTCAAGTGGTGTAAGGAGGGTAGCCCATCCTTGGGGATCCCATTTCCCTTATGTCCTTGGCCCTTTAGAAGCCTAGGACGGAGTTTAAACTTTATAGGGTGTATTAGGATTTAAATACCTGACTATTTGGGAGACCTTGAATTAGAGTTGAGCCTATCATTACCCTTTTTTTTTTTAATTAAAAACCAATAGAGAATCGCCTATGAGTTTTAGGAAAACCCATAAATCTCGTTCATACCTTTCTCTCAAGTAGAGTTTAAGAGACATTCAGCATGAATCACAAGTTTACCAATGCCCAAATTAGTCTACTAGTACCAGAAATGAGTTCGGGAGCGAGGGTATTAAGAAAACATTCCTGTTTGAGGGGAATCGCAATCCTAGCCCTAGTGCGGCCTCTACTAGCTCTTTTTTTTCACAATTTCATTGTCAAACAATATATGCAACGTGAGACCTAAAACTAAGGGTGTGTTTGGCATCATTGTTGTTTTTGATTTTTTTTTTTTTTGTTTTTAACCCCCAAAATATAACAAAACAACGTTTGGTAAAATAGCTTTAAAAAAACAACTTTACAACTATTTTGTAAAAAATAAAACGGTAAACCTAAAACACCTCAAAGCAGTTTTTGAGGTTTTGATTTTTTTTTTTAAAAAGAAAAAACCCTATCAAAGCGTATCATCGATTGTTCTCCTTCAAATTCAATATCTCATCTTTCTTCCTCAAATCATTCTCAAGATTCAAGGAGCAAGCAATTGCAGGTATGGAGCGTTCTCCTCTCTCTTTTCTTTTAATTTCATTTGCAATCACATTCGCCACGTTTCTCTCTATTGTTCTTTCAATTTATTGATGCTTTTGTTGTTAAATTTTGTTGTATTCAATTTCTATGATTAATTTGTTCATTATTTTTCTGAGTTTTAATCGTTCTTTATCTAATTTGTATATAATTTATTTTGGGTTTTTATATTTGAGGATTTTTTCCTGAAATAATACGAGTGTTGTTAATTGTTACAATCAACACTCGTATTGATTGAATTTTCTATGATTCTAATTCTTAATTGCCCTTATTATGATGTTAATATATTTTAGTTAATTCAAAGAAGGATGTCTTAGCTAATTATTTGATAATTTGTGTGCGTTATTTTTAATATTTTCGGAATTTGTTGTTCAGGAAGTAGGAAGTATGAATTTTATTCTTGTAATGTAATCAATTTTGAAAATTTGGGGTGAATTGAAGCTTTATACCTTGACTGTGGAGTAGTGATGGCTTGTTGTTGTTAAGAGGTTATATTGTTATCTATGTGTGCTAACTGTATCTGGAATTGTTACATTTATGTTGTGTCTTGCTTATTTACATAAGAATTAGTTCTTTTAATTGAAGCTTAAGAGATTGTAAGTGGAGTTGTGTTATAACTCACTGAGTTGGGTACACGTACACTCGGGTCTATATCAGATTCCTTGCTCTCAAGAAGACTTGTTTATGGAGTTGAATCAATGGATGACTAGCGTGTATTTGTTGAGTTAAACTTTTGAACATATGCTTTTTGTTTGATGTCATCAATGGATGCATGTGCCGTGAGAAATTTAAGCTTAGTGTGTTTTGCTTAATTAGAGTACTAGTGTGGAGCTGTGGATTGCAGTATTTTACACCCCTTTCTTTTCAAATTTTTGGAGGATGAGAATAATATGACTATACATATTGGAGCAAATTGTTGTCTTAGGAGTTGGGAGAAAGAGTTTTTTTTATACTAGCATTAATTTTGTGGTATAGTTTATGAGAGCTATATGCCAAGTTAGCTTAAATAGGATCAATTACTTTATGAAGTTTATATGTTTAACATACTGGTAATGGGAGACAAATGGTTGTGCTTTCTAAGGACCTACAATTATAGCAATAGAATTAGGTAACTCGTAATAATCATTCATCTCTTATTCTCTTTCACACATTCAATTCGTGTCATCAGCAATAATGGAATTTTGATTATTCACTGTTTTTCATGTCATGTCAACTCATTTTGAAAATTAAAAGATAAGCCGGGATGGGAAGCAGCGGTGGCGTGGACTCCGGAGGTCAAAAATGCTACAAGCCATGGGAGAGCAAGGAAAATATTTGCTACAAGTGCGGAACAAGCAGAAGGGTATGCAGTCTGGTGGGAAATTAAAGAGAACATCAGCCAATATAAGAATATCTTTAATCAGATCAGATTGTGAGAATGTAGTGAAAGCGCTAAACTCGCCAGAAATGTCGTCGGTGGAGCAAGTGTGGTCATGGACATCTTAGATATGATAAGGAGCTTAGATTATTATATTTGCATAAAGGTACGAAGAGATTGTACTGTTTGGATCAAGTAGGAGTTTTATTTGTGATCGATTGTTCATTTGCCCCTTAGGCAGTATATGCAATCAATAACTATAGATTCGAGAACCTAGTGACTCCTTCTGTAAGTCAACAAGAACTTCAAAGAATGGCTCGGTTTCGAGATTGTTTGGCAAAACTATTGTGGGAAAGACAAAATTCACAATGAAAGTTATCAATGAGAAATAAATATTACATTGCGTTTGACTATTTTATTGTTACCCCTTTTTTTTTTTTCTGTAGTTGTTCTTTTAAATTTTGTTATAACTTTATTCAATCAATAAATTTATTATTGAAATATGTATATTTTTCTTTTTGTAAAAATAAATAAGCAGCTATTCAAAAAATTATAAATAAATAAATAATAATAATAATAAATTATTATAGGCAGTATAAGAGTGGATTAAAGCTAGAATCTATAAATGATTTGGTAATATGAGAGTTGATTGTAAACTAAAAACTGAGAAATGGAAACAGTTTTTAAAAAATAAAGAAACAACTTTTAAAAACTGAAATCAGTTTATAATTTTGAAAAAACAAATAACTGAAAACCGAAAACAATGCCAAACGAACCCTAAGTTAATTGATTTTATTTACCAGCGATAATCACGAAAGGTTTACATTGCAACGAATGTCGTTATTCTTATTTATTCCAAATTCGTGAAAAAGGACAATAAATAAACAAGATTCGCCTTGACTTAGGTGATAAAATAATCAATTAATTTATTCAATTCTAGTGTTTAATTAACGAAAGAATACTATGTGAAATTAATTAATTGGAGTTTATTTAAAGTGAACAAACAACACTAATTAATTGATTAAAGTGACTTAGGACAAGAAAAAGAAAAGTGATTTAACTAAGTGTTTGGGAATTACCACTTTTCCTTGCCAGATCTTCGTTTAGAATACAAATGGACTCCTTGTTTGGGAACCTCCATCGTAAGGACAAAGTAACAAAAGGCGTGAGTGTTTAGGACAAGAGGGTTAATTATTCCATAAACTATGAGTATTACTGCTGTTTCTTTGGCTTTTTCTCTGTGTTCAAAGCTCGTATATGAACCCTTATTTATAGAGAATGGTTAGGGTTAAAATTTCAGACATGCTACCGCAGTAGGGGGCGCGCGCAATTGTGAAAGGAATGAGTTTCTTGCGCGCGAAAGTTTAGGGGTTGCGCTGCCCAGGGTAGCGTGATTATTGTTCTTGTTGTTGGGTTTTGCGGTGTCCGACACCGCGAGGAAACAAAACTCGATAACCGGATCGCATGCATAATAATTACAACATAAATAAAAGCATGCAAATAAACATAAACGTAAGAGAAGAGAGAGAAAGAATGCTCACCCTTGTAGAGCGCTTCACTCAACCGTTGAGCTCGGACTTGAAAGCTTCAAGTTTCGCAAGTGTGAGAACCTCTAACGACTCACACCCTCGCCACCGAATCGTAATCGGTCCCTACCCCGAAGCTTAGTTGGGGCTAGACCAAAAATAACTTAGAGTTTACGAACAAAGGTTTTCTCGCTTTTGGAGATCCCTTAAATTTCACTAACTCATGTAAAAATCCCAATACCCCATGATGGGTATTTATAGGGAAATCTCCCCAAGAATTCCCATCATCTTTCAATGTGGGATAGTTGGTAAAAAGCAAATTTAAGATTTAATTTAATTCCAAATTAATATAAAATGCCAAAACAATCACCAAATGACAAGTGGCGCTAGGAGAGCAAGGGGTTAGGTGAGGACCACAAGGGGAAGACCACCTTCCCCTTTCTCCCCAACCAACCCCAAAGAACCGACCTCCATACACTTGGCTTATCGCAGCGAACCAGCTGACGTGGCCTGCCTTGGGCGCCAAGGCTGCCTCGCTAGCGGCCTAATCCCTTGCCTGGGCCTGCTAGCTGGCCCGTGTGCATCCAGCCTCACCCTAGCCCGCAATAGCATGCCTCGCTTATGCAGGCTGCTATGCGCTACTGGGTGTTGGTCTCGCTAGCGAGGCCCAGCGAGCTTTGCTAGCTGCTGGTGCCTTGCTAGCGTGGGCTTGCTGTTGACCCTTGCGCGCTACCAGCTAAATGATTGCTTGCGGTAGGGCCAGCTAGCCTAACCACACATTGATGCGTGCTGGTGCTAGCGTGCGAGCGGTCAGGTGCACCAACCCCGCAGGCGTGCTCGGCTAGCAAGCCTAGTAGTCCATGCATGCTAGGCTTGCGACACCGCCATGCCTTGCGGCTAGTGGCCTATGCTAGCCTAGCCCTTGCTTGGCTAGGCCAATGCGAGGCTACGACTTAGCGATGACTTGTTGTTTGGATAATTTTTCCGTCTCGTCGACCCCTAAATTCGACTCGACTTACGATGCTCAACTTCGACGCTCTAAGCTCGGAATCCGACGTCTTTGTTCATAAAATCTCTATTGACTCATATAATCCTTCGGCTTAATTAGTCTCTTCGGTTTGGTTACACGATTGGGTGTGACCCGAAGGGTTCAGTCAAGATTAAGCTGTAATATTAATTATTCATTAATAATACTGATCGGAAGCGGCCTCTAGTTAAGCATTCCGATCACTGAATAATTAGCTTTCTAATTAATTCTGAACCCTCTATTAGAATAATACACTTGTTCGAAGGACACCATTCCTTTCAATCTCCCACTTATCCTTTCGGACAAGTGTGCTGATTGTGTATAGCCTGTTTCCTATGTCACTTAATGTCTCTTTGTAAACTATAAGGTAAGATTTTTCGTCATCCTTGTACGGCAGACGTTTGACAACATCAAAACGGACTAGTACTCAAACAAGAGAACTAACGATACTCATGGTTAAGGAAAGAGGTTCAGATAACCATAATGAGTAATATACTTATGACGATTGTTAAATCTCTTAAAGTATTCTCATAGGTCGATCCGGTATAGTTCCAAACTCATACCTGTGCAAATGATTTATGACAAATTTGTCCTTGTAGCATAAGAAACAATTTTATAAATCATACTACACACTAATCTCATGCGGTCATTAGTCGTCCAACTTTCAAATGACCTTGATTAGGCATAATTTCGATATGATATTCAATGTTCAGTTAATAGGTGTTTCTTTATCCAAGATATGGCCTTGATACCCTGTTTTGAATATTCTCAAATCGAATGGACTCATTATTTAATTCTAAACCACAAGTAAATAGAAATGGAATAATAATTTACAAAAAAATTAAATTACTCCATAAATGAATGGTTGAACTTAGTGTTTGACATTAAGATCTCCACAACTTAATTAAAACACACAAATAGGGGAATTAAAGCTAATCTCAAATATGCCTGATTCTCATTGCCTCAACGTGCTTGTTGTGTTTCACTTGAGGCAAAGGTTTAGTGAGTGGATCGGCTATATTGTCATCCATTCTAATCTTGCAAATTCTGTTTTCACCCTCGGACTTCCATTCCCTTAACATGTGAAATCGCCTCATGACATGTTTGACTTTCTGATGCTCCCTTGGCTCTTTGTCCTGAGCAATAGCCCCACTATTATCACAGTAGAGGTCTATTGGTCCCTTTATTGAGGGGACAACACCAAGTTCACCAATGAACTTACGAATCTAAACTGCCTCCTTAGCTGCTTCTGAAGTTGCCAAGTATTCGGCTTCAGTTGTAGAATCTGTAGTCGTGCTTTTCTTAGCACTCTTCCAACTGAACGCTCCTTCATTAAGACAGATTACGTATCCTAATTGTGACTTGAAGTCGTCTTTATCAGTGTAGAAGCTTGCGTTGGTATAACATTCAACAACCAAATCCTTACTCCCACCATTGACCAGAAATTTATCCTTGTTCCTTTTCAAGTACTTTAGGATATTCTTGGCCGCAGTCCAATGCGCCTCTCCTGGGTCTGATTGTTATCGGCTTGTAGCACTCAAGGCATATGATACATTTGGCCTAGTACATATCATGGCATGCATGATTGATCTAATAAGCAAAGCATATGGAATCTGACTCATCCTCTCTCGCTCATCAGGTGTCTTCGGACATTGTTTCTTGCTGAGATTGATGCCATGTGACATGGGTAAGTGACCTCTTTTGGCTTTCTCCATATTGAATCGTGCCAGTACCTTATCGATATAAGTACTTTGGCTCAATCCAATCGTCCTTTTAGATCTATCCCTATAGATCTTGATGCCCAATATGTACTGTGCCTCTCCCAAGTCCTTCATTGAAAAACACTTTCCAAGCCAAGCCTTTATAGACTCCAACATTGGAATGTTGTTTCCAATGAGCATTATGTCATTGACATATAAGACAAGGATGCGATGTCACTCCCACTGACCTTCTTGTAAACACAAGACTCATTTGGATTCTTGATAAAACAAAACTCACTAATTGCTTCATCGAATTGCAGATTCTAACTTCTGCTTGCCTATTTTAGTCCATAAATGGACTTCTTAAGCTTGCATACCTTCCCAGCATTGTTTGGATCTACAAAACCTTCTGGCTGTGTCATGTACACAGTTTCTTCCAAAATTCCATTAAGGAAGGCGGTTTTGATGTCCATTTGTCATATCTCATAATCATAATATATGGCAATTGCTAGGATAATCCGTACGGACTTAAGCATGGCGACTGGCGAAAAGGTTTTATCATAATCAACACCGTGAATTTACCTGTAACCTTTTGCCACCAATCTAGCTTTGTATACATCTACATTTCCATCTTTGTCGGTTTTCAACTTGAAAATCCATTTGCAACCGATAGGTGTGTAACCTTCGGGCAAATTAACCAAGTCCTAGACTTGATTTTCAAACATGGAGTCCATCTCGGATTTCATGGCTTCTTGCCATTTTTCAGAGTCGGGGCTCTTCATAGCTTGTTTGTATGTCACTGGCTCATCTTCATCCATAACTAGGATGTCTTGATTCTCGGTTAAGACAACGTCGAGGTATCTGTCTAGTTGAGATCTTGGCCTTTTCAACCTATGTGGGTAATAGATTGAGATTTTCTTTGTCATTTTGTCTTTGACCATTTTCAACAGTTGCTTCCAAAGCACTTTGATTGTCAGTTTTGTCAGTTTGACTTTATTGCTCACCTTCTCGAACTTCATCAAGTTCGATTTTCCTCCCACTTGTCATTTTGGAAAGATGCTTTTTTTCCAAAAAGACACCATCTCGAGCAACAAATATTTTAATCTTAGATTTGTTGTAGAAGTAATACGTCTTTGTTTCTTTTAGATATCTCATAAATA